CACCCACTTTTCCCCCCTTTCCTTACCTCCCTCTATTTTCCTCCCCTCCCGCCAGCCTACACATCCCGGACCCCCCCCACCTTACCCCCCACCTCGTCCTCTCACCATACACACCCCTTTACGAGTCCCACACCCCCCTACTTGTCTCAATACCTGTCCCGATAGTTTTTGCTCTATCGCCGAAATCACCCCCTACGCCGCCCCCCTCTTAGCTGTTCTCGCTCGATAGGCACCTGTTCCCGAGCGCCAGGTCGGCGCGGCGCGGAGGCCCACTCGGATGTGTTGCGGGAGCAGGTATATCTTGACGCCGTCTCTATCCGAGATCGGGCTCAAGGCCCCCATTGCGGATAGTGGTGGGGCGGACAGGCTGATGTTCGGCACGGATCACCCCTTTTTCCCGCCCCTAGGGACGGACGAGCAGGGTACGTGGGAGAGCGTTACATGGAATGCCGAGGCTGTCAGCAAGGCACATCAGAATCATTCTTCACACGGCTGACGGGATTATGGGAGGGAAACGAGCACAACCATCACAATGAGCACATGATCACCACGAGCACATGATCACAATGAGCACATGATCAAATGAACAACATATACGCCTCACCATGGCATCTCGCTGTAGACCCCCCACTCGTTGTATATGTTCGCCCGCCCCTGCGCGGGCTCCTGCTCGTCAAGCTGTGCGTGGCGCGAAGCCTCTCCGCAACCCGGTTATATACGTGTCAAATGCCCAGAAACGCCCACAAAAATGCATACTAAATGATTGTCCCGCCGCGAATTCTTGTCTCCTTCCGTCTCGTGCCCCTCCTTCGGACCACGTCCCCCATATGGGCCCTCTCACACCTCGGCCGCCGCCTTGTCGGCCGCCGCCTTGTCGTCGGCGCGCTTCTGCGAGTCGAGCACGGCCTGCAGCTCGGGCGGCGCCTTGAAGCCCTGGTGGTCCTGGTGGCGCTTGTAAAAGGAATTGTCGGGCTTGGGCCGCAGCTCGGCGGGCAGCTGGTCGAGGACGCAGCGCAGGATGGCATCGACCGACTTCTTCTTGGAGGCGTCGCGGTGCCAGACGGAGATGAGGTGGGCGTTGAAGCGGACCGAGAGGCCGACGCCGCAGAGCTGGTCGCCGTCGTCGAGCACGTCCTGCAGCTCCTCGCCAATGGCCAGCAGCTGGACGCGCGTCCAGACGTCGGGGCCGATGGCCTTGGGCACGCGGAAGGTCCACGAGCCGCCGCTGATGTTGCGGCGGTCCTCCCACACGGGCTTGAACCCCTGCTTGAAGAGGTAGATGGACTCGCGCGTGCGGATCTGGTCGACGGGCGTGTTGTTGTTGTACTTCCAAAAGTCCTGCACCGACTCGATCTGCGTGCCGAGCTGCTCGAGCTGCGACTTGTACTCGTCGCCGTCGGCCGTCTGCTGGTCCTTGGACTGTCTGGCGGCGTGTCAGCTCTGCTGCTGCTCCTGCTGCTGGGACGGGACTTCTTCCGGGAAAGAGGACAGGGGAGCGCACTTGTCAAAGTACACATGCCAGTAGTGCTGCGTAGGGAGGGGCCGCATGGCCTTGAGGAAGTTGCGCTTGGCATCGTCGCGCTGCTCGGCGGGGGAGCCGACGTTGGGCGAGTTGGGATCGGAGCTCTGGGAGAGGCCGGAGAGGTCCCGCGTGAAGAGGGTTGGTCGCATCGCCATGATGGAGGCGGGTGGGCTGGGTGCGTGCTGTGTTTGTTGGGTACTTGTTCTTCCCTACAGAGAGAGAGAGAGGGAGAGAAAGGAAGAAGATGGAGGCTCGTTTCGATGCAGACCCGTCGTCGAGGGGCAACCGACAAAGAGGGTGAGGGGCAGGAATGCACGTCAGTTGGTGCAGAGGACACCGTTGAGAAGGTGGGGGCAGCGATGAGGCACTGGTCGCTGGTGCATGCAGGTCAGGCAAGTACCGTGGGACTTCAGGCAGTGCCGGGGGACTTCAGGCAGTACCGGGGGGAGACGGGAGAAGACAAAGAGCCAAGGAGGAGGAGGAGGAGGAGGAGGAGGAGGACGAAGCCAGGTACCTCCTTAAACAGGTTAAGCAGGGTGAGTGAGGCTGGGCGATGACCGTGGGAAGAATGCGGCGGTGAGGAGACAAGGGAAAAGGGGGAGCGAAACAAGAAAGACACGCAAGCCAAGTCATGCCAGAGATGAACGTGTGTGTACCTTGCGCAACCTTGGAAAGCAAGCCTGCGACGACGTTGCTGTACATGGTACTAAGGTATGTACATCACCAGAAATCAGGGCAGTTCAGGGACGACTGCGCTTCACGCTGGTGCTGGTGCTGGTGCTGGTGCTGCCGAGTGTAACATTTCCAGGGGAGCTTCAGTGGTTGGACGGGCCCCGGAAGACATGCCACCAAGATGGGGGAGCTGGCAGCTGGTCAGGACTGCCGAGTGCCTTGCTCCCGTTGCGCTTCAAGGTGTGCCTCTCCCCTGACCCCGGACCCATGGCTGACTGGATACCTCTCAGCGCCTGGGCTGGCGAATAGCGTCCAGTGACAGGTCGAGCAGCAGGCGGCCAGCCTGGGCACCAGGGCACCAGCACCAGGGCACCTGGCACTGGCCCTCGGACCCCTGCTTGCCCTGGCAGGGCCATCGGGGACATGTGTTTGAGAGGACGCCGTTCCTCGTTCCTCGCCGGCACGCAGCGAGACAACAGACGGTCCCGTTTCAGGCCATGCCAGGGGGCTCAGACCGGGCCCCGAGTCCCTGTGTGCAACGGCGCCTGTCCCTCGTCGTCCCATCTCCCCCCCTTTTCATCCCATGGCCTCGACCACCACCAGATCGCCCTGGGCTTCTCGCTCTCCGGATCAGGGGCCGCTCGGCTACATTGTACATTGTACATTGTATCCTCATACACCTACGTGGTACCCTACCGTCCTTAGATTTCTCTTCCTTCCACGCGTGCCGCTTCCCGAGTGTCAGTCTCGCCTCACCTCCTCAAGCGTTGCAGGTCCATCACGCAGAATGCAACGCACACGACTCGCAAATCTCGTAAAGGGGAATCATTGGTTTCTTCTACCCGGGCCTGGCGCCCCGTCGACATTCTTGAAACGCCCTGCATGACGCAGCACCCGAGAACCGCCTGTCCTTGCTCACCTTACCCAGAGACAGAAATAGAGACAGAGAGGAAATACCCAACGCCGAGAAACACCACGCTGCTGTCGTTTGTCGTCACAAATGAAAACCCTCCAGACTGATTCCACCAGACTGATTCCACCAGACTGATTCCACCGGAGATTCCCCCAGACGGCTCCCGCCGTCCCTGGCTGCCTCACACATTGAGCCTGGCCCCCAGCGGCGTCCTCGCGCCCCCCTGCTCCATCCACCGGCCCATGTCGTCTCCAATCTTCCTCCGGAACATGCCCAGGTCCTGGAGCAGGCTCTTCATGTAATCCTGCGTCTCGTCTTCCTCACCGCCCGCCTCCGAGTCATACGCCGTGCTGTCCGAATCGCCGTCGTAGGACACCAAGCTGTCCTCGTTTTCCTTGTCGTCGTCGTCGCCTGCTTCTTCCCCGATGCTCTTCTGCTGCTCCTCCACCGCCTTCAGGGGCACCGCCGGGATCGGGTTCTTGAGGCTCTCCAGCGCCAGCTTGAGGTGCAGCCGGAGCGCTTCGTTCTCCGTCTGCAGGCTGCGGATCTTGCCCTCCGCCACGAGGCTCTTCTCCTCCATCATGCGCTGCATCGCCACGACGCTCTTCTGGTAGTCCTCGAGGCGCGCCTCCTGGTCCTGTGTCGTGTCCTTCTCGCGCCGTCGCGACTCCGACACCGAGAGCTGCAACACCCTGATCTCCTCCGCCATCTCCGCAATCTGTGCGTCTCGCTCCGCCGCCGACACGTGGTCCTGGTTGACGACGGCCCGTGTGCGGATCCGCTTGGCCTGGTCCGCGTAGCGCAGCGTCGAGAGCGTCTCCTCGTAGTCCGACGGCGCAATGCACGCAATCATGGCCGTCTTGCTGTTGCCGCCGAGCGAATCCTTGAGCAGCCACGTGAGGATCGAGTCACGGTACGGCACCACGTCTTTTCGTTTGCGACCCTTTTGCTTCGCGTCGGCCAGCGCGCCTATGACGCGCCCCAGCGTCGTCAGCGACTTGTTGATGTTGCTGCCCTCCCGGAGCCGTGCGCCCGTTGCTTCCGTTGCCTTGGCGCGCTCACTGCCGGCGAGATCCACCAGTCGGATGCGCGAGCTTCGCTCCGTCGTCTCGTCCGTCTCCATGTCGTGATGAATCTGCTTCAGCATAATGGTGAAGACTGCGTGACTTCGACTGCTCGTGTCGTTCATCTTGGTGCTGGCCGTCGTTCGCGAATCGTCTCCGTTCTTCATGTACCGCAGAATCTCGTTGATGCTGCGCACCGGCACCTCGGTGAGATCCTTGACGTAGGGGCCTTCGGTCGGCGACTCGCGGATCTTGAGGTAGTAGGGCGGCTTGTTGGGCACGACGGGCACCAGCAGGTCGCGCACGTGCTCGTTGTAGACCTCAAAGTACGACACCCTGACGTTGTAGGAAATATTGGGCGTCTCGTTCTGCGCCGCCTCGATGCGCTCAAAGAGATCCTCGCACGTCCGTGGGATCAGGCCCGGCTGGTCCGGCGTGCCCATCATGGTGTAGCTCTTGCCGGACCCCGTCTGGCCGTAGGCGAAGATGCATGTGTGGTAGCCCTCAAAGTTGTGGTCGAGGAACTCCTCGCCGAGGGTGTTGTAAATTTCTTCCTGCGGCGCATAGTGCTTGTCCGTTGCGTCGTGGCTCCAGAACGAGTTGTCAAACGTGAAACTCTTCTCCTCGATCACCTTGCGCGACTTGGCGCGCGAGTTGGCCGGGTCGTTGTCGTTGGGCACGAGCAGCGTCGTCTCCTGGGTCATGGGGTTCATCTCGATGAGGCATTCGGCGCCGCGGTTGATTTCTGCGGAGCGTGGCATTCTGCCGTCAGTCATCTATCTTGGCCTCGACGCAGCTGGAAAAACAAACTCACCTCGGGGCAGGAACGCCCGCACGCGGACGACCACCCGTACGTTGCCTCCTCCGTCCATTCTGGCGTGTAGCGGGATAGTTCCATCGCGAGAGCGCAGCGACGGGGTCGAGGCAGATGAGCGGATGGTCCGCAGTTCGGGAGTAGCGGCGGGGGCGGCGGCGGCGGGCATCAGGCGGTTGTCCAAAGCCATTCCAAGCAGTGTCTCATTGAGTTGCTCGATGAGTTTGCTGAAGCGTTGACGTTGAACAGCCCACATCACATTCCATGAAGCCCCCCTCCCCGGTCGATGTTTACTTGGTTGCCCAATCGAGGCAGCTACGGTGGGGCAGCGGTTGCCGGATCGACCGCGAGGTGTCGATGGGCAGGGATGGCCAGTGTGGCGTGGCCAAGTGTGGCGTGGCAGTGGCAGTGACAAGACAGACTGATTCAAGTTGTCCTTCGCAATTCTGATGATTCGGAAGAGAGGACCAGAGTTCTCCTGTAGGTGTGATGAGTAGTTGTGCTCGGTGTAATGGTACGAGATTGTTTTCTGTGTTTGGTGCCTTTCTGTTTGTTTTGATGCCGTCACTGCCGCTGTAGTACCAGCGCCAAAGTACGTTCCCCCGCGCACTAGAGAGCAACGAGTGTGGAGGACTCAACTGGGTGGTGTCACGGCACAACCTTGGCGGTGCAAACCCTCAATCCATCCTGCTCTTAAATTCACTCCATGTACCTATCCTACATGTCTATCATAATGTCGTCCATCCCATCCTAACAAAACTAAATCTAGACTTGCAAACGAAACGCCTTGTTTCCATCTACGTCCGCTTTAATCCCTTGCCCAACAACTCCGATCCAACCTCGACCACGAGCTTCTCCTTGGGAAACAGCTTCTTCTTTCCAAGCACAGTGGCTTCAGCATCCATGGTGCGCAGCAAGTCGGCCAGCTCTCCGTCAATCGCCGTGCAATAGACCAAGTGACCAAGCGCGAGCAACATTCCTTGGAGAGCCTCTGGCGATGCCTCTTCCTGCCCGATGGCTTCGAGGACAGAAGCGGCAAGCTCAACTTGTTCAGCCTCCGGCAAGCCGTCGCCTGATTTCGTCTTCTTCGCGTTGCTGCTCGCCAGGGCCACATTATACATGAGAGAAGATGCGGCGACTCTCACGTTGTTATGGTTGTCGTCGAGAAAGCTCGATGAGATGAGTTGCACGACGGGCTCTCTGATGAGCTCATTTTGAAGAATCTGATCCGCATAAAGCTGTGTAGAGAAAAGGTTGCAGGCTGCTTGTAAAGTCATGAGTCGGAGGGCATAAGGGGCGTCTGTACTGGTATTGACCAGCCCGATGATGCTGTTGAGCGTCTGATGGTCGTGCTCTTCTGCGAAATGGCCGCTTACTCGAGGGTCGATCAGGGCGCACCTCAGGAGGTCTGTCACGGCGAAAAAGGTCTCTTTCGATAGTGTTTGAGTCGAGCGTCGGAGAAAGTCGACGAATAGACGCATATCAGGCAGGACCGCCTGTGAAGGGCCGTTCTGGTCACGACTCTCGATGAAACGCCTGATGGCTTGCACAGCCGGGTCACTAGCCGCATCGCCCATTTTGGCCAGCAGCTTCTGTAGTGGTGGTACTTTGGTGTAAAGCACTGGTTTGGCACCAGGACTCACAAAGCTGGGCAGATTCAACAACTCGTGGGGATGGCGGGGCCAAGCCATCTGCACCAAAAGCTGGACCTTTTCCCGTAAGGCGTGGGGTGTCGCTCCAGTCCATTGGTATTGTTTCTCACCGTGTACAAAGGTCGCAAATGTAGGCGCCGCACGCACGTTGAAGGTGGTGGCAACGTCTGTTGCCCGGTTGATGTCGATTTTGATGAGCACAGCCTTGTCGGCCACGTCGACGGCCAGTTGCTCATACTCGGGGTAGAGCATCTTGCAGGGTCCACATGTGCTCATGGTGAAGAAGACGACTGCACAGGACGTCTTTGCAGTCTCCAAGGCGGCACTGAGCTCCTGCATAGTGCCAGCCGTCACGACCTTGCTTTTCGGTGGTTGTGACGGAGTAGACTGGGGCTGGGCTGCGGCGTTGTTCTGAATCCCAAGTATACCTCCGTTCTGACGCATGGAATTGACTGTCTGGTTCAGCTGAGGGAGGAGCATCCTTCCCATGGGGGAATCCATGACAGCCTGGGGCATGTTGATGATATGATCTGGGATTCCTTTGCCAACCAAGAACTTGGCGAATGAATCCGAAAAGTTGTTGCAGTTGTGCTTCCACAGATCGTAAGCCTGTTAATCCCAGCACCTGTCAGCAAGCGTCGAAGGATGTAAGCCGAACCGACGTTGAGCATCCATTATATGGGGGTGAGTGAACGTCGAAACAGCCTCACTCACCTCGAGAGTAAAAATGGGTCTCAGTGAGTCCAAGAACTCTTCTATCACATCCATTGGAAGCTCTGTCGTTCCGAGCGGTATCCTCTGCATCGGTCTGCCGAGATGCGAAGTCCCTGGCCTGATTGCGACTATTCCGCCATCGTAAACGTATTCGAGCCCATTCAAGTGGATAGAAGTGTGATAAATCGCGTCGAGTTGAAACCCAAGGAACCCTTGGGACATTTGCCGCGCGAGGCCCTGTGAAAGATCGTACGTGAAGAGTGCGACCTCCATGACGGGCGTGTAGCAGGTGAAGGCGAGCCGCGTTGCTGGCCAAGTTTGAATGCAACGAGAATTGTACGGCAATAAGGCGGACGGAGTGCGCTGTTGAGTCGTTGCGCTACAAGTGCGCTTGTGGTAATTCTACGTGGGTAATATGAAAAGAAATCAAACTGATCTTTTGTCGGAAAAGGCCGGTGAGTCTTGATGTTAAGAAGACTCGGGGAGGCTGTGAGTAAGGTAGTTCTGACGAGGAAATCCAAAACTCGAGTGTCGCCGCTGCTGACATGGAGGCAACTGCAAGGACGACGACTATCGTCGAGAAGCTTCGGTGACGAATGACCTGTGGCCTGTGACCTCCACTGCTTGGGACAATGAGCGCCACACCAACTGCTTCGTACATGTGGCAGTGCACCATCTGCCCGTCCGTTCCTGTCGCGCGGAGGAAAGGGGCCTCCTTTTGGTAGACGGCGTTCGGCGCCGGGATGCCCCGCTTATCAGGCTGTATTGGGGTTAGACTCGTTGGCCGCGGCAGGCTGGCTCGAGCAATCAGCTCCCTGAAGTTAGTGAATTTTTGAGTACCTCCTGGTTCGAGCCAAACCCATTCTGCTGTACAGTAAAGTTGTTCCCCTCGCCGAACCCCATTCGCCTCCTTGCATTGGAACCCATTCGACTGCACTCGATTCAACTTGCATCTTGTCCTTTGGCCGACCCGTACGACCTGACGCTCTTTCGACATCTCTCCCTTCTCCCGCCACCCTCTCCGACCTAGTCCCTCCTTCTACTTCACCTCGAATCACGAATGCGCCGGGCCGTGTCTACGTAGACTCGCCCGCACAACCTTCGTCCCTTCAACCGCGACCAATGCGAAGATCATCCGTCTCGCTCCCGCACACCAAGAACGCGCGAGATCCTTTCGAAAAGCCCGGTCGCTTTGCCCCTGCCCGAAAGCCTGGTCTTCTGGGTGCGCTGAAAGCCGTCATCATGTCGCAGACGCAAAAGGCGAGATGGATCAAGACGGCCGCCGTCGTCTTCTTCATCGTTCTGGGCTTCATCTGGTTGTCCCCCAAGGGCGTCGACATGTACAACAACCGAGGTGAGAAGATGAAGCGGTCGAGATGGCACGACAAACCTAACAGTCTTGAACAGTCTCCCCTACCAAGTCCAATGACGGCCAGGTCCCCTCAGACAACTCCTATGGCACCGATCGATGCACCAAGTCTAGCTCCAAGTCGAAGCCCATCGTGCAATACGTTCTCATGATCGACGCTGGAAGCACTGGCTCGCGTATCCACGTGTACAAGTTCAACAACTGCGGCGCTGCCCCCGAGCTTGAGAAGGAGGAATTCAAGATGACCGAGAAGTCGGTTGGCGGTCTCAGCAAGTATAAGGACGACCCAGAGGCAGCGGCCAAGACCCTCGATGCCCTTATGGACGTTGCCATGAAGGAAGTCCCTGACAAGCTCAAGGGCTGCAGCCCGGTCGCCGTCAAGGCCACCGCTGGTCTGCGCATGGTTGGTGCTGAGGCAGCTGACAAGATCCTCAAGACTGTTCGCTCGCACCTCGAGACCAAGTACCCCTTCCCTGTCGTCTCGGAAGAGCAGAACGGCGTTGCCATCATGGATGGCTCCGATGAGGGCGTCTACGCTTGGATCACGACCAACTACCTCCTCGGCAAGATTGGCGGCCCTGACAAGAACCCCACTGCCGCCGTCTTCGACCTTGGCGGTGGCTCTACTCAGATTGTCTTCGAGCCGACGTTTAAGGGTCCGGCTGGCGGCATGCCCGAGAAGCTGTCGGAAGGTGACCACAAGTACAATCTCGACTTTGGTGGTCAGAAATTTGAGCTGTACCAGCACTCTCATCTCGGCTACGGTCTCATGGCGGCTCGTGACGCTCTCCACACCGTCTTCCTCGATGAGCTGCTGGCGTCCAAGAAGAACGACAAATCTGTTCTCGAAGGACCTGTCGTCCACCCTTGCATCGCTCCTGGATTCTCCAAGGAGACCGAGGTCAAGCTGCCAGAGAACCATCAGCTCGGTCAGAGCATCAGCCTGAACTTCACCGGACCCACCAACGCCGCCCCTGCGCAATGCCGCGCCCTGGCCGAACGCATTTTGAAGAAGGAGGCCGACTGCAAGCTTGCCCCTTGCTCTTTCAACGGCATCCATCAGCCCTCTCTGGCCAAGACCTTTGGCCGCGAGGATGTCTACATCTTCTCCTTCTTCTACGACCGCACCAAGCCACTCGGCATGCCCGACTCCTTCACCCTTCGCGAAATGCACGACCTGACCAACACTGTCTGTGGCGGTGAGCAGTCGTGGGACCTCTTCTCCACGATCCCCGGAGCTCTGGACGAGCTTCGCGATCGCCCCGATCACTGTCTCGACCTCAACTTCATGATGGCTCTTCTCCACACCGGCTACGAGATGCCCATCGAACGCGAGGTCAAGATTGCGAAGAAGATCAAGGGCAACGAACTCGGCTGGTGCCTGGGAGCCAGGTAAGACCCTGTACCACTCACACGAAACGACATGATTTGCTAACCCTTGGCTAGTCTCCCCCTTCTCGCCCCCGGTTCCGGCTGGGAGTGCAAGATCAAGCAGGTGCAGTAGACGGGATCCGCCCCTCTAGCTATGCGTGCTGGCTTTTTGTAAATTATAGACGTTGTAATTCATGACCCACACAACACGAGGACCTGATGACAAAAAGAAGAGCGAGGTCACCGCCACAGAACAGACGGGGACTCGGCACAACGTGGTGTCTTTGGGTCTCGAGATTGGCAAATCTCACGGTACCCGTGGCGCCCCCTTATTACCATGGCGGGCGAACCATGGCGGGTGAGGCCCGCACTCGGGAGGACATCATATCGATGCCTTTTATAGCAGTGTTACCATCGCATATAATAAATTGACCAAACCGGCGTTTGTGATTCAAAGCGGCGTCGCGACCATGTCCAGGACCTCTTCCATGACCTCTTCCGGCCCGATGTCCTCGAGCAAGGCCTCCACGGCCTCGAGCTCGCTGCCCCACTGCATGCTCCTCTCCTGTTCCGGCTCCACGATCTGGATCCTGTGCAGATAGACCTTTCTCAACGCCAGTGCGACGAGGCCTGGCGTCGCGTAATCCAGCTTATGCAGCGGCGCCAGCGCCTTGATCAGCTGCTCAAAGTGCTTCGTCGCCGTAGGACTGACGCCACCCCCGACGGCGCGGTGCATTCGCAAGAAGGATATCAAGTTCATCTGGTAGCGGAGGACATCTACGTCAATCTGCACGCCCTGACTGAGTCGTGCCAGGGCAGCGATATCCTACGACTGGTCGTCAGCATGATCCCGTCCGTCCGCAACACCCCGCGGGGATTCATCACCACGTACCACATCGCTCAGCAACGGGTCGTCCTCGACACGGAGGTCCCCGTTAACACTCTTCTTCACGACGCTCTCCATGCTTCCCGTCTCGGAGCCGCCGTCGTCCCCCGCGGTGGCCTCGAACCCTTCGTCGAGGTTGGCGAAGCCGAGGTCGGGGTCGTGCCAGTGCGCGAGGTACAGAAAGTCGTTGAGGTGCGGCGTGACGCGCGCGTGCCCGCCGGTCTGCGCGCCGAGCGCCGCGATGAAGAGGAACTGCTTAGGCGCCGCCTGGACGGCGGTGCGGGTGAAGATGCGGCGGGTCCGCAGGAGCTCGAGGGCCTGGATCTGGACGGCCTTGGGCGCTTGGTCGAGGTTGCGGGCGAGGATGACGTTGGCCATGGCCGGGGGCGGGTGGCTGGGGCTCGTCGCCGAGAGAGAGGTCAGAGGGGTGAGGGCGCCGGGGCGGGCGACAAAGTACGAGGGCTCGGCCGAGGTGCGGGTTTGGAAGGGCGAGGGGGTGCGTGACTGGGGTTTCGAGGTGAGGATGGCGGCGGCGAAGTCGTCGAGGGTGGTGTGGGCGTGGCAGTCGACAACGACGCACTTGAGGCCGAAGGTCTTGGTGAATATCTGGTCGTAATTAGATGAGACCTTGGGGAAAAGAGAGAAGAAAGGACTTCTGCATACTAGTTGAAGCTCTTCTATCAACTCATCGAGTGCTTCTGAGGGAGTACTGATAAGACAATGCTCCCTGCTCATGAGGCACAGTAGCCCGGCGAGTTCGAGGTCGCTGAGGCCATGGACCTTGCCGAGCAGGATATCATCTGCCATGTCTAGCCACAGTGGACATCATCCGGGCCACTGATGACAGCGTCAAATGCGTGAAGCTGTCTCGCCGATCATCAAGTCGTTGAGTGGATGCAAGCCAGGAGCATGCGACTGAAGCTCACCAGCCTCTTTCTCTCCCATCGTCTCGTCTTCCGGCGCCCCACTACAGGCGCCCAAGACATGCCCCGGCAGCGCGGTGCATGTGGCGCAGTCGTCATCGCATCCAAGTGACCTCACGCAAGAGCCGCTAGTCCCCTCTCGGCCGCTTGCATCCAAGAGCTCAACGCATTGATTGGCTCGTTTCATGCTTGCCAGTGGAACCCAAGCAGACAAAGGTGGAGGTACTCAGGTACCTTGGGGGAGCTAGCCGCTATCAGTTGTGCAACAGGTACTGTATGGCCGGACCTGGCGACCGACCGACCTCCTCCACCTCGACCGCTCCAACAACAGACGAGACGACGATAACCCGTTTCTGCTGCCTGCACCGAAACGACAGGTGCCTTGCCCGACTGAATCGACACGAGTACGAAGATTACGTACTTGCCACGATTCCCCAGACCGATCCCACCGGCAGCACGACTCATTGCCTCTTCGCCGATTCCCCTCTTCAACCAGCTCGAGAGATCAACAGCCCAACATGTCGACGAGGAAGAAGGTCCTCCTCAAGGTTAGAACCATGTGCAACTAACTCCATGTCTGTTCCTCGACTGACTTTCTTTCACCAGGTCATCATCCTTGGCGACAGCGGTGTCGGCAAGACGAGTCTGATGAACCAATATGTGCGTCCTATTCGATCTCGACGCCCACCACCACGCGAGGAGAGTAGCCTGCTGACCCAGGGTGCTGGCAACAGGTCAACAAGAAGTTCAGCGCGAGCTACAAGGCGACCATCGGCGCCGACTTTTTGACGAGGGAGGTCCTCGTCGATGACCGACAGGTGACGATGCAGGTACGAGGAGACGCCAGCCGCCGAAACGACGTGGGCTGCGAACGACCGCTAACGTGACCGTGCAGCTTTGGGACACTGCCGGCCAGGAGCGCTTCCAGTCCCTGGGCGTGGCCTTCTACCGCGGTGCCGACTGCTGCGTGCTCGTGTACGACGTCAACAACTCCAAGAGCTTCGACGCCCTTGACAGCTGGAGGGACGAGTTCCTGATCCAGGCCTCGCCGCGGGATCCCGACAACTTCCCCTTTGTGAGTAGGCCCTCGGGCCCAGAGCTGTCACCGCCGTACTGACTGTGTTTCTAGGTCGTTCTTGGCAACAAGATTGATGTCGAGGAGAGCAAGCGCGTGGTGAGTTTCAGATGCTTTGTTGGAAGCTCTGAACGCAAGCTAACTTTTTGGGGCAGATCTCGACCAAGCGCGCCATGACGTTCTGCCAGTCCAAGGGTGGAATCCCTTACTTCGAGACCAGTGCGAAGGAGGCCGTCAATGTCGAGCAGGCTTTCGAGGGTAAGTCCACGCCTGGCAGTCACTTGCTTCTTGTGTGTACTGACGAGACATCCCCCAAAGTGATCGCACGCAATGCGCTGGCTCAGGAGGAGTCGGAGGAGTTCAGCGGCGACTTCCAGGACCCCATCAACATCCACATTGGGGACGATCGCGACGGCTGTGCCTGTTAATGAGGCCGAGTTGGAGAGAGAGCATGTCTGCAAAGCGACATGGCTCGCAAGACAAGGTGCGGCACGGCATGGCACACGACAGAGAGGCAGGGCACGGCATGCCCACGATAGTCGACTTCACATGGCTCGAGGAGTACACATTCTAGCACAGACAGTCTCGGGTTGCCGGCATATTATTACTATACCTTAGGCTTGATGTAGCATATTCTGGCACTGGGTTTTCTGGGTGTTTTGCGGGGTTTTCGAATATCACACTGATTCTTTGCGTCTGATGATGGTCACTGTAGGTGGTAACCTCGTTGGTACTTGAGCGTCAGACGGTGGAAGCGAGCCGATTGCAGCTTCTGACCTCTTGTGTGATCCAGGCGCGGACATTGCTCCCACCAAAGACGTGGCGAAACCCTTGCAGGCTTCCGCATTCTGTCGCTCATTAGATTTCACGGTCAGGGAGATGAGGTGCACGTGAACAAGAGACCTTTCCAGTGACAGTCTGAGGCCCACAGACCCGCCCGCGTCGTCACGTCATGCAGCCATGGAAGGCCGCCGTGCACGATTGCAGTGACAGGACCGACCTGCCCCAAGGAGCGCGCCGGAAGCTGCTGTTTCAGTGGCTGTTTGGACGCCCTGGCCCACTCGCCTGCCGCCCTAATCCTGAGCCCCCCCACTGGCCTGACCCTCGCCGGGTGACACAAGGCTGCGACCCTGAGAGGACGGGCAGAACGAGGGGGGGCGGCTCACCAGGGCTCCCCACCATTGGCCGAGCCCTGGAACATTTGGCGAAGACGCCATATCTCTCTTCCCGGCGAACCCAGACAAACGTGTGCGTGATCGGAGGGGTACCCGAGCCTCGATGCCCTTCCTCCATTCCTCGACAACGACCTTCCCGACCCCAGTGCCCACGAGGCCTCTTGGATTCCCCAGTTGACAGACAGTCCGACAGCAGCTGAGCCCACGCGCGCCTCGTGCTCAGCACCTGCCGCATTCGCGAGTCCTCATTCCCACTCCAACGTGCGGGCGGTCGACTGTTGCTGTTCGCCAGACAATACGCTCGATCTGCCAACTTGGCTGTGACAGCATTTTGACGTTCGGTCAAGGCTTAAGAAATTGGCCATCGTTCTTTTTTTTGTGAAGGCCTTTTTCTTGACCCGGAGGTTGACGCTAGATCGAGAAAACATCAACCACGATAAGCCTTTGCGACAATGACTCGAGACGAAGCAATAATGGGGGCTAGCGATAGACATTCGCACAGAGAGTTGCTGGCCGACAGGACAACCACCGACGCAGGGCCTATGAGCTGGCGGACAAGACTTGGACTCGACGGTGTCGGGAGGCGCACGTTGGGAATTGCCTGTCTTCTCCTAACGGTCGCCTTGTGGACCATGTCCAACTTTCTCGCCTCTGTAAGCCCTTCGCCCTCCCCAGTCGCATGGCTCACTACAATGACTGACAAGTGCGCAGTACATCTTCTCCGACTCGACGTACGACAAGCCCTTTTTCGTCGTATACCTCAACACATCCGTCTTTGCCGTCAACCTGGTCCCGATGCTGGTCCGCTTCCTCCGTCGACACGGGCTGTCCGGTCTCCGCCACGAAGTGTCCAAAGCCTGGCATGAACGAGAATACGGCAGAACAGCCCTCCTGTCTCCGACCGCCGAAGACGCCGAGCGTCTCCTCGTCGATGATGAGGCCAGCGCCGGGGGATACACCAGCGGAGCCATCCCGAAGCAACCGCCCTCGACCGAGCGCCTGAATCCGCGCGAGACGGCCTTTCTCAGTTTCGAGTTCTGCATGCTCTGGTTCATAGCAAACTATTTCGCCTCGGCGTGCCTGCAGTACACGAGCGTAGCGAGCGTTACGATCCTCACGTCGACGAGCAGCGTCTGGACGCTGCTCTTCTGCGCCGCGCTGCGCCTCGAGACCTTTTCCATGCGCAAGCTCTTCGGCGTGCTGGCGTCGCTCGCGGGCGTTGTGCTCATCTCGACCATGGACCTGTCCGGGTCGAGCGATGAGAGCAGGGGGTCGTTCCCGCACAAGACGACGGGCCAGATTGCGCTGGGAGACGGCATGGCGTTTCTGAGCGCCATCATCTACGGAGTCTACGTCACCATTATGAAGTGGAGGGTGGGCAACGAGGAGAGGGTGGACATGCAGCTGTTCTTTGGTCTCGTGGGTCTCTTCAACCTCATCATGCTGTGGCCGGTCTTCTTCATCCTGCACTGGACAGGCATTGAGACAGTGAGTTTTCCCCCTTGCGCTCCCTGGCATGTTACTATGTACTAAAGCTATGCGCCAGTTCGAGATGCCGCCGACAGCTGAAGTCTGGGTCATCATCCTGGTGAATGCCTTCTCTTCCTTTATCAGCGACATATCATGGGCGTACGCAATGCTCCTGACGACGCCGGTGCTGGTCACAGTCGGTTTATCACTGACAATTCCCCTGTCGTTGGTCGGAGAAATGATTCAGTATTCGCAACACTCTGGCTGGGTGTACTGGGTCGGAGCGGCGGTTGTATTTATTTCTTTCGTGTTTGTCAACCACGAGAGCAAGGAAGAAGAGTCCACGACGGAAGAAGACCAAGTTACGGCTTTTTAGAGGTTTGCGTGAGTGGGGAGGCGTTGGGTCATGTTTTTTTTTGGGCGTTTGAGAAAGGCATAGGTTTGCCGTTAGTTGCGATCGTGATACCTTGGCATACACCGGGAGCGTGCATATAGAAGCGCATCTTGATCTGTTTTGTGGGAACCGTGCTTGTGTGATCTTCTGCCACATCGCTACACCGAATAATTCTCCATTGTGAATCAGCCTGCGAGAAAGTCGAGCCATGGCACCCGATACGAGGACACGATAATGACGAGCAGTTGGCTCGGGCCAGTGATTCCGGGCACCACCCAAGTCTATTGGAAGCATCAGGCTCAAGCTCGTGTGGCTGCTACAGGATCAGGATGAGGTCCATGCGGTGTACGGCTCGTGTTTGGTTTCTTCCCATGTATCTTAGGCGTGGGATTTACCAAGTCATAGTTCTTCCTCTTGTGCTTGGGCATCTGAGGGTAAAATGTCAGGTTTCTGGGAATCGATCATCTCAGTCGCAGCCGTGCTGGTGACGACATGACTTGTGTAGAAGTCTGTCCGAAATAAAGCAGAGACAAGCGGCTGAGACGACAGTGAAAAGATGCAAGTCAGGAGTTGGAGATGTCCATGACTCGGACCCGAGATGGATCATCGACGACCGAGTTGTTGGAACAGGAACAGACTTTCAGAGCAGGCAGGGTTGGGGTAGGCGGGATCGACAGGGCCGTGATTGCCGTCACGTTGGTTATTAGACCGCTGTGGAGACGGCTCCGGGGCGCCACTTCCTCCACCCACAACCTGTGCTTGTAGCGGGTAACGCCATGAAAGTTGTCGATACACAGCAGAGATACCGATCTCGATGACCCATGTGTACACCCCACCTGAGCCCACGACCGAGGTGCGCGGGGCACCTACCTCACGCGAACAAGAGGATGGCCATGGGCATTCATTGGAGAGACATGGCATTCGCGACCCTGCCTTGGGGAAACCCTGCGTTGCCTATGTATTTTATAGTGCCTGCAACATAACCCTGAGAAGGAAGGGATGGAATGCGGGCATGTGAATCCCACCGGCTACGCAATGCACAACCAAAGCGTGGAAGCCAAGGAGAATGAAAAAAAAGCGTCCAAGGGATTCACGAGCGCCAAGGCATGATCTTCGCATCCATCTTTTCGTCATAGGACTTCCGGATTGATCCCTCATGTGCCCCTCTCCCACTTCTCTCGCGGTGGCCAACCCATCTTTGCCTGATCATTTTCTTCATCCCATCAACCTCATCTCCGCTCAAGGTTGCCCTGTAAGCCCAGTAGTGTACTGGTCGAGGACCTTGGCCAAACCCCTCGAGGCCTAGAACCGATCGTGCCTCGTCCTCCTTTCCTTCTTGGGAACGCCCCTTCGGCCTTCGGTGCTCGGGCGTCTGCGTGGATCGAGCCACAGAACGACCCAGATCCTCCCAGCTACCTGGTTATGACCGCTGCCCAGCTCTGCCTGGCTCGCTAATAACCATCGTACAGCACTCGGCCGCACCTCGTCACTTGTCAGCTGTGACTGGCCGTTCCTGATCTGATCTTGATCTGTTCAGGTGCATTCACAAGCGCGCATCGCACCTGCTTGCCCCACGAGTCAGCTTTGTGTTCATTCAGCAATTCATTCAACAACGGCCCTGCCACGATACCTACCTACCTACCTACCTACCTTAGCATAGGTACCTAGGTAGGAAAGGCACGGGGTAGGCATCGATAGGGCGCCAGGGAGGCATCAGTGAGCCCATCTCTTGCTGCGTGGTTCTGTCGCACCTGGCATCATGACATTTCGCTCCTCGCCCGCTCAACCTCTTCAACATCTCGCCCGCTGCCTTCATGGGCAGAGGACACCCTGGCAGCCTTTTTCACCATCTCGCAAACCTTCTCAAGCCGGCCGCGCCCGATCTCTCTACCTAGAGCCTCTCCTCCTCATAAGCATCATCCACTAAGCTTGTCTCGTCGCAAGGAGGGCCCTACGACGTTATGCTGTCCTCGACAGAGGCCTCCGCGAGCAGCGGAAGCCCTCAACGGCCGCTATCAGATTCGATCAACGCCGCCACTAGGACTATCCACGCAAAGCTTAACAAGCTCATCATCGCTCGTCTACCTCTGAGCTTGCCTCCTCATGCGCAAGATCCTTCCACCTATGCATCTGGTCTTCTGCACATTGCGCCCATCTACATCACTTTCGAGTCTTGGTGGCATAGCCTCGTCAGCGCACCGCCGGCCCCTGGCGCCGATGCTGCTGCCGACCGCATCCACGACATCCTATCCGGCATCTATTTTCCAGATCTCATGCGCGCTGACCGCCTGCGTGCCGACATTGCCCATCTCACTGGCTGGTCCATCGACACTGTCAACGAGAAGCTCGATACCGTCGCCCGTCACGGTAGCCTCGCGGATTTTCTGCGCCACATTTCTCGCGCGCTCGAGAACCGCCCGCACGTGTTGATTGCGTACGCTTACATCCTGTTCATGGCGCTTTTCGCTGGCGGACGCTTCATCCGGGCCACGCTGGAATCTGTCGACACGTCCGCCCCGGAACCTGGCTTTTGGAATCGTCGCCCCGTCCCCGGCGCTCCTGGCGACCCGTTACCTCTCTCCTTTTTCCGCTTCAATGGTTCTGTCGATGGAGAAGATCTGAAGCGTGACTTTAAGGCAAGCCTCGCCTCCATCGAGCCTCTCCTCTCTGCACACGATCGACACGACGTTGTCCAGGAGGCCATCTGCATCTTCGACAACATGCTCCGTCTCGTTGGCCAGCTCGACGTCTTTTGCAACACCGATCTCGAAGCAGAGCCGGCTCCCTTTGGCTCCCGACTGCGTAACTCAGTGGCCGTCGCCAAAGAACGCCGTGCTGCGGCAGCGGCCAGCAGCGGCGATGACTCGCCAGAACGAAGCCACTCCCATCACCAATGTCCAGCAACGAGAGCGGCTGGCTCCGACGAGTCGGCGGACCTGGAGGGCACCGGCCGGTTTTGCCCCATGCTCGGCAAGGCTGTCCGTTTCGAGCCTAAGCCGTCCACGCCGGAGCGTGTTCGCAGAGTCGACAAGTTGCGTTCCATGTTCTCGGGCGATGGGTCATCTTCGCGCAGGGGTAGTCTTGTCGATACTGTCACCTCGCGTACGTCTGCCAAGCTCTCTCTGCTGTCCAATGTGCTTCTGCTGGCGGCAGCAGTGGGGCTCATGGCCACGTTTTACTTCTCCAAGGGAAGACGCGAGGAGAGCGTGTTGTAGGAGCTGAAAGATGAGAGTCTTGTCGTGTTGCATAGTTGATGTTGGAGATGACGGGATACCACGGCGTTGAGGCTGACCTTTTCTTCTTTTTCTTGTTTTTTTTCTCTACACCTGGACTTATCATGGCGCTGCGAGGGACATACACGATACCCCCCTTTGTCTTTTTCTTTTGGGGCTTTCCTTATCTACTACATTCATGTTTATGACCACAAACCCAGACAGCATCACCATCATGGCGAGAAGGAGCATAGCCGAGATCGGAATGGACGATCGGTCATACAATAGCCTGTTTTGACAAGGATTCAACAATCATGACCCTGGATTCTGAACTGCTATTGTTGGGAATATGTGATGTATATGCTATGCTATTCGTGAACCAATCGATTGGGTATCCTGCTCTATCGCTCTGTCAAACCTGTCCTTGCAACCTTTTCCGCAAACGGGCTTGGTCCCTTGCGACGCCCCGAATAAGAAACCCCAAGAAGCTGTCATCCTGACGCTGCTGTGTCCCAGGCAACTGTACAGTACTCAAAATACACACACACACACGCACACACATGCGCCGTGCGAAAGGGGGCTGCACAAAGACCAAGACTGAAACACTCAGCACTCAGAGTGGTCGTCGTCATCGTCGTCCCAGCTCGCACCCTCCTCGGTCCGCGCCCAGCCCGCCATCCAGCGCTTCCGACCGAAACCACCACAGGTGCGCAGGTCGCGGGCGTCCCTCGGGACGTCCTCGTTGCGATCGCCGGCGCCCTCGCAGGCGTCCTCCTGCCAGTGCCGCACCGTGTAGTCGTCCGAGACGGTGACGAGCTTGCCCTCGTTTGACCAGCTGAGGCCCGTGACCTCGCGCTGGTGCCCGTCTGCGAGCTGCGTGCCGTTGTGGACCATGGGGATGCGTGCGGCGGCGGCGGCGCCGGAGCTGGGACCGGGACGCCTCGCACTGGTGTCCCAGTCGTGGTTTGGGTCGTGGCTTTCGCGGTCCCACTTCTCGCGGAGAAAGCGCTCGTCGGTCGGGAAGAGGATGGCGCTCGATGTGGCGCTGCCGACGGCGAGGAGTTCAGGACCGTTTCCCGTGCCGACGGTGCGAAGGGCTGAGCGGACGTAGAAGGAGCCGACGGTGAGAGCTGGGTGGCGGAAGCCGTAGAGGGGGCCCAGACCAGGCGAGGCAGAACCCAACTTCTGGCGGGGCGGGTTGCGGGAGAGTTGCGGCGCGGGTCCGAGCATGAGGTGGGCGGTCGAGTAGGCGTATACGGTGCTGTCCTTGCAGACGGCGTAGAGACGCGAGGCGTCGGAGCTGAGGCACATGGATGTCAGGCCGTACGGGCGCCAGGCGTGGGTCGAAGGGGTCGCCGTGGCGGACAAGGGGGTGGCTGCTCGGTTACTGGAGGTGACGTAGCGGGTGTCCCAGAGTTTGATGCAAGAGTTGGCTTCCGAGGCGGAGAGGAGGAGGTGCTCCCGTCCTGCGGGCAACCACTCGAGAGCCGTGACCGAGGCTCCCCTGGTCTCACCCTCGACAACACGAACATGGGCCTCGAGCATGGTGTTCAATGGCCTTGTCCTTGACGGGGGCAGATGGCGGTCGCGAGCAATGGGACCTCGAGGCCCCATTGTTGTGAAAGATACGGCAGGAGAGGTGCTGCAACGGATGTCCCAGATTTGGATCGTGCCGTCCCGGTCCGAAGTCGCAAGCACATCACCATTGGCCTGGCCAGGTTGAAACTTGACGCGGCGCATGGCTTGGTACTGGCCGTGGTTCAGCTCCACGGCTATTGACTGGGACATGACGTCCATGATCTTGCCGCTGTGGTCTCCGCAGGCGGTCGCCAGTCTGAGGTCGTTGTGTGAGAAGGCCAGGTCCATGATGGCGTTGTTGTGAGCTTGGACAGCGATTTTGACCTTGGTGGGTTCTGACACATGGGCGGGAACGGACTTTGTATCAAAGAGACGAATGAACCCCTCCTCATCGCCGACGGCAGTCAGGGGGGTAGCTAGCAACAGTCAGCAATGGGTGGATGGGCACCCAGAAGCCTGAGAACGTACTGTGACAACTGGCGAGACTGAAGGGAATAGTATGCCCTCGGCCGAGGCTTGAAGTACACGTGTAGACATCTGTATCACGGGTGAAGAAGCGTGTGGTTTCGCTGCGTTGATCTAGAGCAAGGTTAGTTCACGTCTAGTTGCCTCTTGCGTGCTGCTTTACATACCATGAGCTGGGCAGTCGATTCTCTCCAGTCCAGGCCTCGGCGTGATGCCCTGCTCGCGGAGCAGCAGCTGTGCGGCAAAGCCCCGGTTACGGAGCTTCATGACAGGCTTTGGTTTATAGTCATGCAACATCTGTCGACGATTAGGTCTGCACCGAAAGGCCCTCAAAGGATAGAGACGTACCGCATCGTTGGAACCAGCATGGGATGATTGTGCGAGCTTGCTCTCGAAACCGAGCGTGGAGCTGGAACGAGTCTGAGCACCCAGAGCTCTCAAGTTATGAGCGGTCAAGTCAGACGTGCGCACACTCCCAATCGAGGGCGAAGACAGCAGGTCAGAGGCCTCGGTCCTCCTTCGTTTCCTCGCATCGGGAAAAGTCTCCCCTGGCTCTCTGCGTGATGCATTGTTATAGTCGATCGATCCTCCGAAGAGGTTGAGAGTCTTCCTCCTTGCATCTTGCGAAACGTCGACGTTGAAATCAACGGATCTTGAGTCGAGCTTGTCTTCGAGGGTGGATGCAGGCGATGTCAGATGGGCGGCGTTGAGTGTCGACTCGCTCGACTCGCCGAGGATAGATCTGGCATCGAAGGGTATGGCAAGCCTCTCGCTCCGGGGGGTGAAGAACCTCCTGAATTTCCTGGGGGTTATGGTCGGTTCGCGTCGTTCTCTTCGGGGTCGTTTTCGGGAGGAGCCTTCCTGTATCGGCGAGGAGGGAGGCATCATGGTCGAGGGTGACGAGGGTATGTGGCCATCGCTCGGGGGCGGGCTGGCCATGGCGCGGCCCCATGTTCGGCTGGACGACATGGTGACAGTATGGTGTGCCTGTCGAAGCACAGGTGCTCAATTGAAGAACTCACGACAACCTGGCAACGCAAGATAGGTAAGGTAAGAGGAGGGGGGTAAAGAGTTGAGTGGAGGGAAGGGGCGATAGGGCCCTGGAATGGGGAAGTCGTTGCCACGGCCACCCAAGGAAGTGAGGACTCGAGACCAGGTTGCTGTGGAGAACTGGTGGCGGGTCGATGGGTTGTGCCAGAAGCGCCGGAAGCTTTGGAGCAGAACTTGTATGGACGACGAGATGTGAGCGTCAAGAAGATTGCTAGGAAAGACCCGGCAATTCGTTCCAGAGAGACAGGCTGGGGTGGAGAGATGGCTTGAGAATTGGCAAAAGAAACGACTGACGTCGTCACGATCGAAAAGGTGCACGAGCACGAGATGCACGGACGGCCCAGGGTGCCCGAGGAACGCGCCGCAACACGACCTGCACGCGTGCTAGCGCGTCTGAGCTACAGGGGACTTTAATTGACCGTAGCGCTTGAGCTGCCACTACCTTACCTGACCTTACCTTACCTTGGCTTGCTTGGCTCGAGGTCCTGTCAGCTGGTGGCATTCCCAGTGGACAACCTTAAGTCAATCCTGCCGACATGGACCGTGTACATCCTTCATGAACACCCTGTCCTGCATCACCATGTATTCACATCAACAGTCATCTGTCAGGCATTCTCATGACTTTCGTTATTGATATTTTTTTTTTAACCAAGCCATCACCGGATGATGGCGTCCGCTTTTTGCGCAGGATACGCTTTGCGCAGGATACGCTTTGCGCAGGATACGCTTTGCGCAGGATATGCTTTGCGCAGGATACGCAATCCATCCGAACGAGCCGTGCCCCGTCTACCAAGCCGCATCAAAAAAGCAAGCCAGTCTACGACACAGTCTTCTCGACCATGCTGATGCCGTACTTCTCCTTGAGCTCCTTCATGAGCGGGTTGTTGATCTTGGAGGTCATGGGCGCGAGCACGCCCTTCTCGGCGAGGGTGCCGTTGAGCACCTGCTTGACGGCGACGGCGCACGGCACGCCGACGAGCTTGGCCATGGCCGAGTAGCCGGCAGGGTCGCCGTACTCAACGAGGGTCGACGTGCGCGTCTCGCGCTCGCCGCTCTTGTGCTCAATGACAAACTTGTGCTGCAGCATGACGAGGTCGCGCTCGCCCTCCTCGAACTGCATCTTCTTCTCGAGCGTCGCGCAGAGCGTGTCGAGCGGGTTGCCGCGCGCAATCGTCTGCTCGTCCGAGAAGAGGCCGATCCAGCGCAGACCGCCGAGGATGCGCTGCTGGTCCTCGGGCGAGTCGAAGGTCGCCTTGGCGAGGATGGCCTTCTCGAGGTCGGCGGCGCTCGAGGACGAGGCGCCGACGATGGTCTTGGTCGCCTCCTTCCAGGGCTGGTTCTGGCCGAGCGTCTCCTGGGCCGTGTCGTCGAGGAAGCCAATCTCGACCAGGACGCGGATGAACTGGGGGAAGCCCTGATAGCGCAGGGTACCACGGATGATGGTCTCGGCCTCGGGGATGTTGTAGCGCTCCTTGTAGGGCGTCGAGTCGCGGTTGGGGTACGCGACAAAGGCGTAGCCGGGGTAGATGAAGTAGGGCTTGGCCGTGCCCATGAGGTCCTTGGACTGCACGTCGACGACGGAGCCGCCCTGGTAGTACTTGGCGGCGTTGCGGAGCGCCAGCAGCACGCCACGCGACGACCACGAGAACTTGTAGCCGAGAGGTTGTCCGAGGCCTCGGGCGCGGGGAGACCGCCGCAGTAGGACAGGAAGGACAGGATCTTGCCGCCCTCCTGGTGCACCTCCTCAATGGTCTTGACAGCGTCTGCACAAGGGTGAGTACGTCTGATTGCACAGCTCTCCGCACGCAAGCATCGGTAGCTAGCAGCTGGCACACTTACAGAGGTGGTCGATACCGGGGTCCTGGGAAGCAACAAGGTCAGTTCGAGTCCCTCGTCCCTGACAGAAAACGGAGGAAACATACCAGGCCAATCTCGTTCATGACAGTGATGCCGGCATCCTTGCACTGCTGGTCGAGCTCCATCATGGCGGGCGAGACGTAGCTGGTGGTGACAACGTGCCTCTTCTGGCGGATGGCCGACTTGATGACGGTGGCGTGGAAGGTGTAAGGGATCAAGCTGATGACCAGATCATGCTTGGCGACCTCAGCATCGAGAGCCTTGTCGTCGGTCACATCGAGGGAGATGGGAGTCGAGTGGGCGACGCCCTGGGAAAGCTTCTTCGCAGACTCGAGGGTCCTGCAGGCTGGAAGACGCAATTGGCGTTAGTTTCCGACCAAAGCTCGAGCAGGAAGAGAGGCACTGGTGCATGTTCTTACCGACGGTGACGGGAATACCGGCCTCGCTGAGGATATCGAGGGTCGGCCGGGTCACGAAGCCCGCACCGAGCATGAGCACGCTCCTGTGCGGCGGTCAGGTTAGCGGGGTTGCTGTGTTGCTGTGGTTGTCTCCGCATCGTAGCTATCGTAATGGTATGGTAGGTAGGTAGGTAGGTAGGTGAGGGGCAGGGGTGGGAGGAGGGGCCATGTTGAACATGGAAGATGAAGCATGGAACGCTAGACGTACTGGGATGACATGATGGGCTATTTGGTATTCTTTTTTTTTCTCTCTCTGTGGGAAGAAAAAAAACTCCTGTGTCAATTGTCTTCAATCAAAGGAGATCAAAGAAGCAGAGATGATGTTGCTCGCAAGAATTAGACACGAACGTCACAGCCAGCAGACAGAAGTCATTGGCATTCGGGACCCAGAAAAATTCCACCCCACGGTGGGGTAACGGCGCTCATGTTTCCATGGCGTTGAGCGAGACCGGCGGACTCAGTCTTTGGAAGTGGGCGGTCGCTATCGCCACGTGACCACTTGTTATCAGAACGCCAAGAAACAAAATTTCTGAAAATCGAGCCGAGAGAAAGAGAAGACGGGCGGTGGGGCGGAAGTAGGTACTCGAAGACCCCAGCGGTATCACAGCAGCCTCCTTCAACGAACGACACGACACCAGGCCTGCTGCTGCTGCTGCTGCTGCTTCTGCTTCTACTTCGCGACCGTCCCCATGGCCATCCAGAAGAAGCACGGCAAGGGCCGTCTTGACAAGTGGTACAAGCTTGCCAAGGAGAAGGGCTACCGCGCCAGAGCTGCGTTCAAGCTGATCCAGCTGAACAAGAAGTATGGCTTTTTGGAAAAGAGCAAGGTCTTGATCGATCTCTGCGCCGCGCCAGGAGTGAGTTGGTGACCTATGACGCGGGCAATCTGACCCGCCATGTGTATCTTTTGCTAACGCCTCTACGCACAGTCATGGTGTCAAGTCGCCGCCGAGACCATGCCGGTCAACAGTCTGATTGTCGGTGTCGATCTCGCCCCCATCAAGGCCATCCCCAAGTGCATCACCTTCCAGAGCGACATTACGACCGACAAGTGCCGCGCGACGCTCCGACAACACCTCAAGACGTGGAAGGCCGACACGGTGCTCCACGACGGCGCCCCCAACGTCGGCACCGCCTGGAACCAGGATTCGTTCAACCAGGCCGAGCTCGTGCTGCAGTCGATGAAGCTGGCCACCGAGTTCCTCGTCGAGGGCGGCACCTTTGTCACCAAGGTGTTCCGCTCCAAGGACTACAACCCGCTGCTCTGGGTCTTCAACCAGCTCTTCACCAAGGTCGAGGCCACCAAGCCGCCGTCGTCGCGCAACGTCTCGGCCGAGATCTTCGTCGTCTGCCGCGGCTACAAGGCGCCCAAGCGCATCGACCCCCGCTTCCTCGACCCCAAGGCCGTCTTCGCCGAGCTCAAGGACCAGGCCCCCAACAACGAGGCCAAGGTCTACAACCCCGAGATCAAGAAGCGCAAGCGTGACGGCTACGAGGAGGGCGACTACACCCTCTACAAGGAGGCGCCCGCCAGCGAGTTCATCCAGACCGACGACCCCCTCGCCATCCTCGGCGGCTACAACAAGCTGACGTGGGCCCAGCCCAAGAACGGCGACGTGGCCCTCGCCGCCCTGAGCAAGCTGCCCGAGACGACCGACGAGATCCGCCTGTGCTGCGAGGACCTCAAGGTCCTCGGCCGCCGCGACTTTAAGATCCTCCTCAAGTGGCGTCTCAAGGTGCGCGACATCTTCGGCCTGTCGACCAAGAAGGACGACGGCGACGGGCCCGTGCCCGTGCCCGAGGAGGTCGCCGAGGTCGAGGACATGGACGAGGAGCTCAAGATCCAGGAGGAGCTGCAGGCCATGCGCGACCGCGAGAGCACCAAGAAGAAGCGCGAGCGCCGCCGGGAGAACGAGAAGAAGCAGAAGGAGATTGTGCGCATGCAGATGAACATGATGGCCCCCATGGACATTGGCATGGAGCAGGACGGCCCCATGGGCGCCGACTCAATGTTCCGTCTCAAGATTGTCGACAAGGCCGGCGCCGCCAACAAGATTGCGCAGGGCCGCATGGCCATCCCGCGCGAGGCCGAGCAGAAGGACAGCGGCATCGGCTCGTCCGGCGAGACGGACGACGAGACGGACGACGAGGAGGACCGCCTCGAGGAGGAGCTCGACGGCATGTACCAGCAGTACAAGGAGAAGAAGGCTGAGGCCGACGCAAAGTATCGTGCGAAGCGCGCGCGCGAGGAGCACAATGACGAGTTTGAGGGCTTCTCCGGCGACGACAAGACGGTCAACACGGACGACGAGTTTGACTTGGACAGCGACAGCGACGAGTCGGACGCCGAGGCCGCCGACGGCAAGACCCTCGTCACAACCCTCGACAACACACCCGAGGAGGACGGCGCATTGTCGAGGCGGGCCAAGAGCTTCTTCGGCCAGGACATGTTCGAGGGTCTCATCGACGAGGAGATGGAAGACGAGGACGTCAAGATGGCCGATGCGGGCAAGAAGACGGGCGACGAGGAAATCGACGACGCCGCCATCGACGCCATGATCGCCGCGGCAAAGACCAACGCCAAGACGCAGCCCAAGGCCGAAAAGGCAAAGGCTGACAAGACCAAGGCCGACAAGACCAAGGCCGACAAGACCAAGGCCGACAAGACCAAGACGGAAAAGGCAAAGAAGGGCAGCAAGGCGGCAGTGCCGGCAGCCGTCGACGCCCCCGACACGGACTCGGACTCGGACAGCGAGACGGAGGGCCGGCCCGCGGCCGCCGGCGGCAACGACGACGAGGCCGCCTGGTCTGTCGACCAGAAGAAGGCAGACGGCACGCTGGACATTGACATTATCACGGCCGAGGCCATGACGCTGGCGCACCAGCTGGCGACGGGCCAGAAGACGTCGCACGACCTCGTCGACGACGGCTTCAACCGGCACGCCTTCCGCGACCGCGACGGCCTGCCCGAGTGGTTCATGGACGACGAGGGCAGGCACGACAAGCCGCACAAGCCCATCACCAAGGCGGCGGCCGACGCCATCAAGGAGAAGATGCGCGCGTACAACGCCCGGCCGATCAAAAAGGTGGCCGAGGCCAAGGCGCGCAAGAAGTTCAAGGCGGCGCAGCGCTACGAGAAGCTCAAGAAGAAGACCGACTCGCTCGTCAACGAGGAGGGCCTCACGGAGAAGGAGAAGGCGAGCACCATCGCCAAGATGATTGCCAAGGCCGGACAGGTCAAGAGGCGGCCGCAGCCCACGCTCGTCATCGCCAAGGGTGAGTTTGCTTCTCTCACATCGGCGCTTGCCGTAACACCAATGCTAATCACGCACAGGCCTCAACCGTGGTGTCAAGGGACGACCCAAGGGTGTCAAGGGCAGGTATACCATTGTCGACGCGAGGATGAAAAAGGACCTGAGGGCGCAAAAGCGGTTGTCGAAGAAGAAGAAGCGGTAAATTGCTCGCCATGCGAGCCGTGCGAGGGGCATGTGATATTCAACGGTAGAGTAGACGGGATGCGGCGCTTGTCGTTCATGAAATACCATAGTCCAATGCATTGTAGGCGTCAGAAAAGAAACTTATTTCGCATCAACTCGCAGCCAGATTTCACGAAGCGATAAGACAGCATCGGATCATGCTATGGTCATAGCGCGCTCAACCCCGAGGGTTGGATCGCACAGTCTAATAACGTTAACGCAGTCCACCTGGGCGATCCAACGACCCGAGGTGTTGAGATTGTAAACCAACCCACCAAGAAAATAGGTAATGACGATCGATATATGATACAGCCGCCCGATTCCAGGCCTCTCTTTTCCCATGCCCAATGTACACCAGTCGAGCCCGCGTGTTCATCTGACTCCAGGTCAGTGTTGTTGCTAGATCCACCAAAAAACGCCGCGTCCTGGTCGATGATAGCCTAAATAAAGGTGATCTCGTTCCGATGCCGCCAACCCATGAGCTCATCCAAGATTACGTCCAAGATTATGCCAACAAAAAGCCCCTGCTCACTCATCATCTTCGACTTTGATACCTCTGCCGGGTGGCCCGGCTCCCCTAGGTGCTCGTGGGCCGAGGACCCAGTCTTCCATGGCCATCCACTCGGTCCACTCGCGGTCGGCCACGGACAGCCATTCACTCCAGCCGGCATCTGCTGCTCTAATCTCCTTTTCGGATGGCTCCTGTAACGGGCGCAGGAAGGGCGTGTACTGGCCATCGGCCATATCGTACGAGTCCTTGACGCTCAGCCAAGGGCGGCTCTTGGCGGCGAAGAGGTAGTTTCGTCGTTCGGCTTCGTGCAGGCGCCCCACACCGGCCACCCAGTCGTCGCCAAAGAAACCGTGAAGAATGGCAGGATAGTCGAAGCCTGTGGCGACGAGACGACGGATGTAGGGGATTGGTGATACTGCCGTGTTGGGGAGGGCGGAGCCGGGAGCTTGGAATCCGCCGAAGGAGGGGGGAAAGCCCGAGGGGCCGGGGCCTCCACGGCTGCTGGTGGGAGCCGAGGGGTAGTGGGCTGAGGCCGCGGCCGCGGCAGGTGAAGATGGAGCGGATTTAAACGACAAGACGGGATTCGGGTGCTGCTGGTAGGGAAGGCGGATATTGACAAAGGCAGCCACAGCCTGGACGGGGGGGTCGTACTGGGCGCGGTCGACAAAGTAGCGAACGCAGGACTGGAAATGGTTGTACCAGTCGAAAATGTCAAAGTTGGGGTCCTACGGGCCTTGTCAGCAGTCTGCCTTTTGAGCGCATGAAGAACCAAGGAAAGGAGGCCGTGTCCTACTTGGGCATGGAATGTTGGCCCCGCCGAGGCACGCTGGCAAAAGCCATGTTGAGGAAGGAAGAGGTGTGCGGTCGAGATGCGAGCAGTCACGGACGACTGGCTACTCGTTTCCAGCTTGGAGCCAGGGCTCCGAGGTGTCTAATAACACAGGATCCGGCAGGCGAGCTTGGTCATGCGAAGAATTCAGATCTGGGTGCCGGAGACGGAGGGTAGAGGATGAGATGGATACGACACTGCCCTGGTGTGAGATGCGCATGGACGGGGGGTCGCGTGGTAGGCTGTTTGTGCAGAAGGGGGGGTGTGTGGGTGTGGATTGGACGGAACTCGGGCAGGAATTAGGCCAGCGTCGAGAGTGGGCTTTGCGGCTACCGAGGACGGATGCCGTACCGTGTATGGATACAGAGGCAGAGTGGCGGTGAGGAGATATGACAGGAGACGGGGGGGCTAGATGGCTGGTGGACGGGTTACCACCGATGTATCTGTATGAGCGAGCGAGCGAGTCGGGGCGGGCGGGCGTGGTGTTTATATCAATTTGGAGATGGAAGGCAAAGAACAGGCAAAGAAAAGGCAGAGAAAAGGGCAGAGAAAAAGGCAAGGCCAAGCAAAGCAGGTACCACCTTCTCCGTCGGCGTCCTTGCCGTAGTGCCCTGCCTGTCTGTCTCCCAGGTCGACGACCCTAATGACGCCAGGCGTCGTTCGGAGATATGGGAAGCCGTCCGGGGAAAGGTTGAATAAGAAACGGTCGGATGCCTCAAGGGAGGAGGTACAGTCTTCTCCACAGCAGAACAATGTAGGCAGGTGATGATAAGTGACCTACCTGGTACCTTGGGTACGTTCGGTACCTGCCATGTACCTAGGCAGGCGCCCGCTACCTCAGTGTGAAAGCTAGAAAGTACTCAAGATGGGAAATGCATGGGCAGCCAGCCAAAGCCAAGGATGTCGAGGGAGACAGAGAGGAGACGAGACGACCGGGAGACGCGAGAAAAGTAACGGATCAAGGTTGAGGGGTGAAGCCAATCTGCTTGGTACCTTTGCCCACCCGACGGTCACGGACGGCGAAGAACCAGGGTCAGTGTTCATGCAGGTCAGTCCAATGTGAGTGAGTATTGAGCAGGCGCAGATGGCTTGCGTTGCGGACGACACTTGCATGCCTTCCTCCACCAGCCTGCCTGCCACACTGGCTTGGCCGTCGGCCGTTGACCAGTGACGAATGACGAGTGACTACCTTAGCGACGGAAAAGGACCAGGGTACCTAAAATACCTAGGTAGGTAGGGCCTGATGCCAGAGCCCAGAGCCCAGAGCCCAGGGTGGGTAAGGTATGACCATCAAGCATTTGTGAAAGACATGAAAAGGGAGGGGGTGGCGGCGGAGGGCGGCGAGCAGGATGCGCGAAACAATAAACGAACGAGAGCGAAAAAGGAGACGATTCCCGACGAGTCGTTGCCTCGTGTGTGAAGAGGCCTGGCCTGGCCGAGCTCAAGCACAGCACGAGGTCCACTCCCACAGGGGGGAGGGGGAGGGGGAGGGGGAGAGGAGGGAGGACCAAGCAGTTCAAGGACCCTCCAAAGGCCACACCCCTCTTCGGCCGACGTGAGGTGTTTTGAGTGGAGGAGGAGAAGGCGGAAAGAAACGAAGGAGGGACCAACAAAGTTGACTAGCTGCGGGCACTTGTTCAATGGTGCCGCTGAATATACTGGAGCACGCTGGTTCGGTGTCCGGTGGCCTAGCGGTCGAATACTCAGCCCGGGCCGGTGTGCGACGGAGCAAAAAGTGTGAATCGGGGGTGACTTGGTGATCCTGATGTCTTGCCCGTTCGGGGACTGTGGCTTATTACATGGTACGCTGGGAGATGGGAGCTGCTAGGAGCTGCTGGGCGCTGGAGCTGGAGCTGGGATGGCGCACGGTGGTAGTTGGTGGTCGGCGGTGGTTGATCTGAGTGGAGGGCCAGTGGAGGGCCACAGGCTGAGGCGCTTCACGAGGGTGGGGGTCTGCTTGGCGAGAAACGATGAGGTAGACGCATCGAAAAGGAAGGGGAGCCAGCCAGGCATTGTGACAGGGTGTCACCCATATTGATTTCCAGGTAGTTGGGAGAACGAAGAGCTGGTCATCAGGCGTATGTGTGCAAGCACAAGCACAAGAATAGTCACCAGCACCCACAGAGATGAGGTGAAGGTGCAGGGCGCGGATAGGCTGGAGGGAAAAAGCAACCAGGAAAAGACGTGGCTTTGTTCAGGAGAGGCGTGGGATCAATAGGATGACAGAGACAGCGTCCATTGATGCAACGAATTCTCATCAGCTTGCCCGGTCGAGGCGAGCAGAAGCAGCAGCCACAGCACCAGGGTCTCGGCAAGAACAATCAAGTTGGAGGTGCTGCTGCTGCTGCTGCTGCTGCAGTTACGACTGGGAGTTGCGGCTACAGCTCCCCTTCCTCCCCACTCGCTCCTGCTCAGGGCGCCTGAGATGGGCGGCGCGAGGCCGGCAGCAAGGGTCATGGTGGCGCCAACGAGGCCTGTGGCAGGCACTACTGGCCCTGTGAGGCCGCGGTCCCTTCCGAAAACGCAGGTCAACGACAACGGCTGAAGCAAGTGCAATGCAAGCCGGACCCTGGAATATCTCCGAAACAACAGGCAAGAAAAGGCCAACTGCCAATGCCAATTGACGGTCCAATTTGCTCCGTTCACAGAGCTGGAGTGTCTACCTTTCTACCTACTACATTGCACTCGGTGGGTGACAGGACTCAACGGACGCGCACCCTTCTTTGCTTATTGACGTATACAAGCACCTCTGGCGGCCCTCCTCCCCATCTGCTTCCAAGTACCATTTCTACGGACATGCCGCTCATTGAGACCCTCCATCCATTGGCCGCTCAGGAGAGGTACGATGATCTTAGCATGACGGGGAACACAACCTGGAGACGGCTTGTCCGGTGGTTCGACATCCAGTGATACGCACCTCCACTTAGGCGCGGCAGCGTACCTAGGTGCCCCTCTAAACCCCCCACCCTGTGCCATGCCGTCGTCGAGCCGGGGCGAGACTGGAGAGGGGTGTGATCCTGCATCGCTGCACCACTAACGAGTCCCCTACCCAGGTACTAGAAGTACTTGGATCCCTCTCTGCAGCTCTGCGCCTCTCAGGTCGTGACACTGAGGTGGTGAAGAAGGTGGCTGGCTCCTCGAGGCAAAGCCAGGGAGCAACCAACCAGATTGGACAGGGATCCCCCTCGCAGGCCATCGAGGAACACACATGCAACGCACCTCGCGAGCCACGGCACGGCCATGGCTGGTTTCCAGGGCACACCTGTCTGGCCTCAGCTCTTGGTAGGGCGCACAGAGCATTCGGTTTTCGGACGCGCACCCCCCAAGCGCCCCCGAAGCACGCACATACATGTACCCAAGGTGGTAGATTCACTCACCCTAGAGCGGATTCACTCACCCTAGAGCGGATTCACTCACCCCAGGTCGGATTCACTCACCCTAGGTAGGTCGCTGCCACCCCCACCAACGTTGGCCTGGGCCCCTCTAACCGTTCCCCAGCCCCTTAGCCTACCGCCGTTGCCTCTCCTCCAAAAAGCAAAGCCATCTTTTTCTTAGTGTGCTCGTGCGAACCCTCTCGTCCTCTGTACTATCACAAATCATGTCGGGTGGCTTTTCGAGGGAGTTATGTGAGGGATCGGCATCTTGTTCTTCTCAACTCCGAGGAACAGTCCGACGTCATCTCCGCTCATCTTGTGAGTAGTGGTCTTTGTCACATCTCACCTGAAGGCATCAGATAATCTTGCCGTGGGCGCAGCCTGACAGCTCGACGGGCCATGTCCAAAATCATACAGCATGCCGATTGGATCCGTGGAGACCTGCGCGCACGAGACATGAAAATTTTTGTCGACTACTGACATCCAGCCATGCCCTCCGACACCAGGATGTTCAATTAGGGGGGATAACGAAATCCTCCATCTCG